AAAGCCGATACGGAGCCTGGGATGCTTGCAGCCGTTAGTCTCGTCAATGCAAATAATTTCCGGCCAAAGGTCAAAACGCTACTGACTATGTAGACTATAGCATGGCTTGATACCCTTTGATACGGAATGGCATCAAAAGGCCCAAAGTTTTTGTGGTAATGGTACGTCTCGAGTTCCTTTTGGTAGTACTTGGGGGCACGGACCTCGGCGATGCGGGGTGAGGATCTTCCCTGTAACCAGAGACGGGTCGGAAGACCATCGACGTCGGCAACAGGGAATTCCGTACAAGGTAAACCGTGGATAGGATCCTTTCGTTGGTTACCTAGCCTACCTTTTGTGTCAGCACGCGATGCAACTTCAGCGGCATTTGGCCGGATGACGCTATTGGTGTGCTTAGCTCGGGGGACACGTGGGAAACTGAGGAGTCGCCGCGGGGATTGGGAAGAACAGCAAGGAAGAACAAAAAGAGGAACTGAGGACGTAAGATCGAGAACCGAGTTCGAGGAAGTGAAAAGGTTTAGAGAGCGGGACCGAGTTGGGGCAGGAGAGATGATGGATGAAAGGTATGTACGTCAAATACGGTTAGATGTAAGATACATACCGTAACTGAAGACTGGACATCATACATGTAGGAGCACTGCAGTCTAGCTTCGAACGCTCTTGCCTTCTCTTGTCACACTTCGGTATCTGTCACGCAGGATCCGATGTGTTCACTGTCTGCCATATTTTACCATGAATCATGTTGATTCAGATACTTGAACGTCAGCACGTAGTTTCAATCGCGCTACTTATGGACGATGTGCGGAACCCGCCAGAACCTGCCATGCTGGGTTCCGGGAAGCGTACCCGACATGTGATAAGCTTCTGTGTAGTCATTTGTGTAGATGTCCCACGAACAACATCTCCCAGCTTCTTGGGCTGAGAAAAACTAGCACTCTTTCATACACAGTATACCACATCAACTTACCCATACCTCGGACTCTTATCGAGATGTGCTATATCCAACCTGAATCCTAAGCCGCAAAATGTCGGCTCCATGTTTGAAATGCTATGTCTGTATATAGTAGTGAACTTCGAATGTTTTCGTCAATAAGCGCCAGTGGTTTAGTGGTAAAATCCATCGTTGCCATCGATGGGCCCCGCGTTCGATTCGCGGCTGACGCAAAGTTGCCTATCTTTTTTCACGCTTTTATCTCTTTTTGTCCCTCTTTTGATGACTGCAAGTCGTAACCCCGTTACCGGTGCGTCATTGTTATAGACATTCACCATGAGGCTCATCCTCGTTTCCTCCTACTATCTTTTGCTTGCCCGTCAGTCTTTGTGGTCTTTTGCCATTTGCAACAAGTGGAACAATGCCCGTGACCTTCACAAGCAAGTGTTGAAGTCCGTGCCCTGGACGGCCCTTACCGGACCTTTCATTCACCTGCACTAGCCTTCCTTCCGGGTATTCGATTATCTTTTAGGCTGCCCTAAGTTCCTTTTCTCCTCTTTTGTCATCCATTCAGACTCTAGAGGTAGTAAAACCCGGGCATTTTGTCTCGTCGCATTTGTGTCTCCAACACAACGAAACCAACAACGGGATACGTATGGAGTGGGACAGTTGTATGAAGGCTTCAACCTGCTCATTTACATTAGTGCAAAGGCAAGGTATTTATGGAGTATTTTATTTTCACCCTTCCGTCGTGTCATTACCTACTTGTATGTACTTGTTTTTTCCAGTAATGTTCACGAAAGGCGGGGGTGAGCATGCTCCCGCTTACACCCCACACCCGACCCGGATAGCCACCATGGAACACTTCTTATTGCAGTTATGCCAGCACCTCTTGTGGAGCGCAACCATCTGCCAAATGCTCGTACCTTTCTAGCGCAATCCAGGCTGCCCTCCATCGATTGGCTGTTCCTTCTCGAACCTCCCACCTCAACCTCCAACCTGCGGCTGCCATCGACCTCAACTTCCCAAGTGCCCAACATCTTGCCTCAGACCTCTGAATCCCTCGTCTTCGGCCTCCATCCGCCGTCTCTAAGGTTGGCCCTCACCCGGTCCTGCCACAACCACAATCTGGATTGGATATCTGACGGAATCCTTTTCGAGCAACACCAACATACGATGTGTGAATCTTGGTCAGCTTCTCACTTCTCACGAATCCATCATGTCGTTCATCCATATCGACCGCTTTCTCGCGGCCGGGTGCGTCGTTATCAACGAAGCCGAAAGCGGGATCTCCCCAGCCCTTTGGGCCGTCCCTCTGCTTCACACCTGGCACAGCATCGATATTCCGGCCTCTAAAGGCAAGCGGAAATACAATCCATCCATTGGACCTATTGATGTCGCCGGCTCCGATCCGCCGCTCTACCCTAGTGTTCAGGACGCCCTCCTGGAATCTCCCTTTCTTTCCCCATTCCAAAGTCTCTTAGGCTCTAAATGGGTTCACACGACGTTCAGAGTTACAGCTGAGTTTCCCTCCAGAGGCATTGTTCGTGTCTACATACTTCCAGACGACGTCGAGAATCGCCTGCTCCCCCGATCTAATACACATCTACGACAACTTAGAACCAGACTCTTCCAGCTCCTTGACTGCTCCTCCTGTACATGGAATGGGAATGTCAAATGCCAAAAAGCTGATCACGATAGGAACAACACTGACCAAGACTTGATCGGAAAACCGCAGACGCTGCTGCAAATGTTCAACACTCTCCCAGCCCCGAATCCCAAACCGAACCAAGTACAGGACCTCGACAGGCGCGCTAGTATGCACAACTTGCTCAACAACAAGGTGTTGGGCCTCAAGACGACGCTATATCCGTTCCAGTGTCGGTCCGCAGCCTCCATGGTACAACGAGAGTCGCTGACAGAGCCAGTTCCGGATCCTCGACTGCCAAAGCCTTATGTCGATCATCTAGGGAAGATGTACTACGTGGACCCCATCGCCAAAACCATCGTTATTGACCTGGCTTATTATGACAGCGTCTGTGGAGGCATCCTGGCTGAGGAAATGGGAGCTGGAAAGACCCTCATTTGCCTGGCTCTCATCCTAGCGACGAAGCACATCCCCACGTCTATTCCGGAGTTATATCGTGGAGCAGACCCCATTGTGCGGCACAAAGTCGGGAGCTTGATGGATATGGCGGCGGCCGAGGTCACGAGAAGCGGAGCGTGGAAGGACATCTTCGCCCCCAACGGCCAAGAAAATGATGGGTTCCAGTATGACTCGGTCATCAATGCCATCCAGCGAAACCCCGGCTGGTACCGCCTACCTCGGCCAGTTTCACCACGGCCCACCCGCAGGAACGCGACCGAGACCCGTGGTGAGATGATTTACCTTTCCCACACGTCTCTTATAATTGTGCCGCCAAATCTCGTTACCCATTGGGAACAAGAGATTGAGAAGCACACCAGCGGCCTCCGAGTACTACTACAGACAAAGACTTTGTGTCTACCTGCTGCTGAAGAACTGAAAGAATATGACATAGTTCTTTTCTCAAGAAGCATCTTCGAGAGCATTCATTCATCCAAACAAGCAACGAAGAAGTCTTCACGGAGTTACCAAAGCAACCCATTGGCAAATGTACATTGGAAGCGTTGCATTGTCGACGAGGGCCATATACTCGGAAACTCAACTTCGGGCGGCGTCAACTCCATGCCGAAGACTAATCTACAGCTTGTCATTAATGATTTGCATGTAGATGCTAAGTGGGTTGTTACTGGCACACCATCCAAAGGCCTTTATGGCCTTGAGAATGGAGTTCGAGGCAGTCTGGAGCAAAATCATCAAGTTTCCATGGATCTAGAGCTCCAGGATCTCAAGGCAATCGGTGTCATGGCTTCTGTTTTCTTGAAAGCACGACCCTGGGCTAACACGCTTGGCGAAGCCCGGTCTCTGGGAGTAGTTGGAGCGACGAAGGACCATGTGCATTGGGAGGACTACGTCGTTAAACCCTGGTCTTCACGCACGGTGGATCGCCGCGATGACTGCCTGAAGGCAACTCTTGGATCCCTGATTGTTCGACACCCCAAGCTCGAGATTGTCCCATTCCTGCCTTCTGTCGAGGAGAGAACTGTGTATCTTGATGGGTCGTACCAAGATATTCTCTCCATCAATCTCTTCTCGATGTATATCATCTTCAATGCCGTACAGTCGGTGAGGACCGACGAGGATTACTTTTTCCACAAGACCCAGAGGGACGCGCTGGCAAGTTTGGTCAAAAACCTCAGACAAGCCAGTTTTTTCGGCGGCCAATTCTTTCCTAGGTCAGACATTTTTCAGGCCATTGATAGGGCGGAACGATTCCTCGACGAGGGCGTGGTAAACATCACCGCAAAGGACGACGATTTGCTACGAACCGCCATCGAGTTTGGTCGAGTTGCGGTTAGCAACACCATCAAGGATGCCGCCCACTGTTTTGCCCAGGTCCCAGTATTCGTTGAAAACTTTCCTTTTGGCGCCGGTGAACATTGGTCTCTCGATGTGAGCGCCAGAGACCCCGTCTGCACAATGGCGCCCCTCCTTCTTCGCCTTCAGGAGCGCCTAAAGCCCTTCACCAAATCTCCCAAAACGCTCGATACGTTGCCCACGTTAGGGGACATTGCTACGTGGGGAGAGCATGATCAGCGAAATGCGTTGGCGCACACCAGTTGGGAGAAATTCGGGCGCCTTCAAGACAATGTGTCCACAGTAGGGACCACCGACACTCGTTCCAATATGCGAAAAAAAAGCTCTTCGAGTGTGAAACCTTTTGTGGGGAAAACAAAGCTTGCGCAAGAACAACAAGGTTCTATAGCCGGCCTGGCCTCGGAAGTTGCTGCACCCCTCATAACAACGAGGTTGATCTCGACCGCCTCAGCGAAGCTCTCATATCTCGTCGACCAAATCATCCAACACCAAGAAGCCGAGCAGATATTGGTATTCTACGAGGATGACAACGTAGCCTACTACCTCGCCGAGGTGCTCGAAGTTCTAAGAATCCAGCATCTCATCTACGCCAAGGGTATCACCAGCGAGCGCAAAAACTATTACCTTGCCACCTTCACGCTGAAACCGAAGATACGGGTCATGCTCATGGATGTCAGCCAGGCGGCCTACGGCCTGGATATGAAGACGGCTTCCCGCATCTACTTCATCAACCCGGTGCTGAACCCGCAGGTCGGGGCTCAGGCCATCGGCCGCGCGCGCAGAATAAGCCAGCAGAAGCCGGTCACGGTCGAGACGCTGGTGCTGCGCGGCAGCATTGACGAGGTGATTGTCCGACGGCGCGAGGAAATGTCGCCTGCTGAGCAGAGGAAGTGCAGCCGGGGTTCGATTTTGGATGATCGACCGATCTATAACTGGATCTTGAACGCTAAGATTCTTCCGCTTCCGACGAGCGTGGATAAGGATGACGGACCGGCGCAGATGGCCAAGTTGGCGGAACCGCAGTATATCTTTGGAAGGAGCTCTGGCACTTATCGTGGGCATACGGACACGGACCTTGTGATGCGCGACCTGGGCAGTGACGCCCTAAGAGCCGTGAATGCGGGGAGAAAATCTCAGAGGGATAATGAAGTAACCACCTCGGGTCAATACATAACAGCAACTTTTGGTTCCAACAAGAGGACGTACCAGGACGATGACGGCGCTATACATTCAGCTACCTCCTCCATACAGGAAGATGGAGATGTGATGATGATGGATGCCCAACAGAGAGCGGAGCCAGATTCAGCCGAGGGTCCTCCTTCTCGTTCGACTAAGCGTCTCCGTGTCCGATTTGCAGACACGGGCGAGAATTGAGTCGACCTTGGTAAGCCTGGCGGTCTGGCTGTTTCCGGGTAAGGATAAATTACCGGCCATTTCCCGTTAGGCCACATCCCCTCCCCATGGACTGGGCGGGCAGTGGACGATGCAATCTACGAAAAGCCTGTGTTGACCAACATGGCTTTGAAGAGACATGCATCGAGAACGAATCCCCCTTTCCCCTTGATCTGTGACGAACAGACCGGATTCCTTCATTGAAAAGCGCAACCTTTAGCCAGGACTCCGAAATTCATTGTAAAGCTTTATACACAATCTATATATCCCGAACGCTGGCCATCTCCGCCTTTCTGGACTTTTGGACAGTTTTTTTTATATTTTTACTCTTGTTGCGGCGGCATGTCACGTTTTCAATCACCTTTTCTTACTGAATTCCTTGGTTTAGGATCTGGGTCGAAGGCTTTCATCGGTTTGTGAACCGGAAATACTGGTAAACCGGTATTCTCATGCTCAACAAATGTTGGTCTCCTCGGCAAAGATGTTCTAGGCGAATCGCAAGCCCGCCCTATGGTAACAAATTTTAGTTATAATCGATACTCATGTAAGGAACGAACAAATGTTGAATGGCATAACTTCACCGTATGGGTTGACAAACAAACATGCCAGTGTAACAACCACTAGCCGCAGGTACTATATCTGCAGTTTGTATCTGACGTATATGCTCGAAGGGCCATGTGGCCAAAAGGAGAAACTGTCCAGGGTGAATATCCAGATGCAGATGTGGATTGAAGAAAGGGAAACCTTTTAGAGCCTGCCCTCAGGCCGGACACGACCTGAACTGCAACAGGCAGATTACGAAGCCACCTCATGAACTTCGATCGTCACTAGGGGGCTGAAGGCCCGGCCCGCAAATGGCGAATTATATACGATCTACGTACCCAAAGATGATTTGGACAAGTGCGTGCGTGCGTGCGTGGGGGATGGAAACCATCAAAGCTGAAAGAAATGCAAAAAGAATGCAAGACTGCCGATGCAGTACGATGCTTATCCACTTGCCTGGGACCCGACAGTATGCAGTGCAGATTCAAAGGGCTCGACTGACATGACTGGCATCCGGCGACGCAGTTCATTCATCCAATCGATAGCCATCGGGATCTTCGTCGCGCCACTATCACCATCCCGCACAATTGGATGTTCTTTTTTGGGACCGCTCAGGCGGTCAAGGTCGAGATCATCCTCATCGCAGCGTGGCCAGGCGTGACCTCGGTCCGGTCCGGTCCTCTAGTCAGCCCCATCGTGGGGTGTTGCCGTCCCCTAACGACTTTGCGGGTCGCGTCCCGTGGACTCTCGAACATGGGATTTGCTCCTACACTATGTACGGCGGTGTCCGGTTTGTGGAGGTGCGGAGGCTGTTCGTCTCATGTTCACTTCGTTGTTCTGTCGCGGCCTCGGACGAAGACACCGGTTGGAGAAACAGTGTGGCATGTGAAGTTCACTAACTGAATTAGCTGCTGGTATCCCCAGGCCTTGTTAGTGAGCGAGAGTGAAAATCATTGAATCCCTGTAAACAGCTAGAACAGCCCGCCCCGGGAAAGTCGGTCCCAGGCCATGCAAAAGCCGCAGACTTGGACAAGTTCCAAGGAGGAGATGCTCGTATAACCAGCGCCGGATCGACAAGCTGACATGGTATCGAAGCCACACATTGGACAGAGTAGCCGATGCAGCGGCACTAAAAGAGCTGCCTGGTGGATCATCCGTACACTATTTTACTTTGTTTGGTAACTCGCCAGCTCGCAAGGCCGCCAGCCAGTTTGACAGCACATCTCCCGACTACCAAACACACGCTTCAACCGGAATTGTATTGCGCGAACGAGGAGACGAGGTGGCGGCCATTCGAGTCCAAGGATACCGAGTTACCGATAAGACAGACACATGGGTATGTAGGTAAAGTAGGGGAGAAGCCATATAAACAAAGCGCAGTCCAGTCCCGATGCCAGGTGTTTTGGAGGGACCAGGGCTGTCACAAAGTCCTCTCCTGACAAACACTGGTGGCACCGCTACACATGGGCATGTTCCAGTCCAAAAGCGCCGTTTCAATGCTGTGGGGCTCGCCAGTCCTGGTGCAAGGAGCGAGGAATCCTTCAGAAACAAGGGAACAAGATAGATTAACGACGAACCCAGGACGTATTCCACTGTAAGTACGGAACTCGGGCAAGGGACAAGTGGAAATCCAGTGCAAGCAGGGTCGATGCAGCGTCGATGCAGGTCGATGCATCCATTCTCGGTGGAGGAGGCAGTCGCAGTCTGCAACCTCAAAAGTAGGTACCTAGTCTAGGCAGGAACCAAGCAAAAGCTGCAGCTGCTCTAGGTGGTGTAGTCTACTGTAGTAGTCGTCAGATGTTTTCAGGTCTCTCTTCCTTCTTCGCTCTCTTTCCCTTCATTCCCCATCACCACCTGAGAGTAGAGGTAGCTGACAACTCCAAATCGACCCTGCCGCAGCAGTCGTGCAACCTGGGACACCTGCTCGATTGATGGCTGCTATTATCAGCCGGAGAAAGCACTATCAACCTTGGTCCGTCGCATCCCGTCACATCGGACCCCTCGTCAACTGAACGAACCGTCTCGCTCTCGCTAAGTATTCTCAGTCACTCGTTTATACACACACTTTTTGATCTGTCCTTCTTGACGATCTGACGGCACCCTCCCTGGTCTTGGCTATCTGGCAACCCCTCGCTCGCCCTCGCTCGTTTCATCGACGTCGACACCCCATATACCTAGGAATAGGACACATATACGAACGACAGTCATTACCAAATACTCGCTCCTTCAATATTGTATTTGGACAGGCAGCGTTGTATTCCAATCCGGACACGATCCAACAACATCAGCTACTCTCCATCTCCTGTTTGCACGGCGCAATCACCAACAAACAAACAGAAAAAAGCGTGGTACTTGGTTAGCGGGACTTGGAATCCAACCGCCGAACGATGCTAGAGTGAATAACGGTTCGGACATATTTAGGATCTTCCTTTTTGTCTCATAATCACAGCATATCGAGTAAAGTATCAGTTATCCGCCTACGCCTCATGCTACCCGACTTTATCATCTCCTCACCAACCTTGCCGACTTGACCCATTCAGCCATGGTGATCAGAGATCATTCGGATGGGTCGCGCGGCTCGTCCGCCGAGCCGCCGTCAGATGAGCCCTCCTCGTCAAGATGGTGGCGTCGGGGTCGAAGGGGCAGCGAAAGTTCGATATCCAGCTTCGTCCAACGGCTCAGGTCACGGTCTCGAAATAGGAGAAACTCGGTGACAGAAGACCACTCGGAGGGAACTTCCGACGCGCGCGACGGGAGCAGCAGAAGAGCCAGTAATCCGCCATCTCGGGCGCCAAGCGAAGAGAGATCGAGTCCTGTTGGAGGAGAATCGAAAAGACCCAAGACTAAAGGCAGATCATCAACTTCTTAGTGAGTAACGCTTATTCTCGGTGCTTTTTCTGGTTTAAATTTTTTAGCCTTTTTCTTTACCCTTTTTTACCTTTTTTTTTTTCCCACCTCGAGCTATTCCTTGTTGTCCATCCCGCAGAATTTTGTTTCACCCTGGATCCCCTTTCTCCACATGTAATCACATCATCATTTTATCATGACCTATAGTCAAGACTTTACAGCCGCACTCCAGCAGTTCTGTCATTGCCTGCTGCTACCCGGCGTCCCTTAGCGTGCCAAAGCTCCAAGTGGTGCTGTGTTGACTGTTCGCACGCCGTGTAACGTGGACCTCATTCCCCTTCCCAGGCTTCTCTCGTTATTCTCCGCGTTTTACGGCGTTTCGGCAGTGTCATAGGCCCCTTTTAACAAGGGAGCATCTCAGCCCGTCAGCAAGTGTCGAGTTTCAAAAGAAGCTGAGCCCAGCTCGGTTCTCGTTGCATTCGAATCTTCAAGGGCTTTGGCCAAGGCAACATCCCTCGTTCTTCCATCAAGCTATGCCCGGATTCAACAATGAAGGCAGAAGCTGTTTGCCGTCCCTTCCCGTACCATCTTAATCCCACAATCATACCCGCCCGGATGGACTCTTTCTTTGTAGTCACAATCTCCACCGCGAGGCAGTGGCGCCACGATATTGTACTAGTACAGTCGCCCAGTGGTCGCTTCGTGGGCAACATCCCGCAATGGCTGGTTTGCAGCGGTTACATCTTGGCGGGTCCTCCTCGGCACGCGCTGCAGGCCTAGGTCGGCGAGTGAGGTTACGAGAATTGTCGCTACGAGACCTACCCACTCGAGGCACTCTAAATAACCAGGCACTGTTTCCAATTGCCGAGCTGTGACCTTACGAACTTTGGCCCCAGCGGTGGTTACGGCACCCTTTCCAAGCTCTCTCAGGGGTTGTTTACAAACTGGGGAACTTGGGCTGCCTGAGACTGGCGGTAAAAGCCAAGAGCGGTTGAAGCCTCAGCTTGCGCTTCCGAATGGCTGCGTCTTATCAGCGCCCAAAGATCCCAATATTGGATACCGGAAAGAGAGCAACGGGCCGCATACAGATCCCACTATCCTACTTCATAAGATTATGATATTCACTGCCCAACGTCATAGCAAAACATTTTCTGCAACTTCCTTTCTCTGTCTTGACTGATCTACTTGTTACCCTTCCCCGTGATTACCACCGGCCTTTGAATACCCTTCGGACGAGACGCTTACTGACCAGATCCATTATTGGAAACACAAAAGTCCACCCTTGAGTTTTTTCAACAGCAACAGTCGGCAACTAGCATACCAACACCAGCGAACCCATTCTTCCTCTGCCGTCTTACAACAACGTCCTTATTCGACCCAGGATGAGTCGAAATTGAAAGCACCGCCACGTTTCAAGGATACCACGGCCTCTACTTCTGACCAGGCACTGAGCGGCACAGCATTTGGTGACGAGAGGCCAGAGACTGGAAGGTTAGCACCCATAAAGCCTATGGGGTTGCCTCCTTTGAAGACTGCGATGCCGCCACCGATCCACGACTTGCCTCACACCATGTATCCACCAAAAGAGCAAGAGTTTGTGTTAAGAACACAGAGGTCATGCGCGAGGATGGAGGAAGCGACGGCGGCTCGTGTCAGCCAAACAATCTCGAAGAAGGGAAAGGAAAAGGCAGTAGAAATGCCCACAATGGTTGAAGCTATTCAACAACCCACTTTGTCAAAGGGTTGGCCACTATCGACAACAGCAGGACCGGTATGGGATCAACAGGGGATGTATGATCGACAATGGCGAGTGTCCGGTCAAAGTATAATCTCTACAACGAGCACCGTTCCCTCAAACCGAGACAGCTGGGATAGTCGACCGCACTACTCGATTATCAACAATGGAAGCATCACGAGCCTGGGATCGATGCGAGCACAAAGCCCGCCTGCTGGTCCTCGTACGTCTTTGTTGGCACAGTTGCAGAAACCCGCTCAGGTATCACGACCTAAACCTCCAGGGCGGAAATCGAAGCCCGGAGAGTTGTTTGCTGCTCTGCCCGGTGAGGTTATCGAGCTTATTTTAGAGGAGTTGCGGAAACTCCACTTCAAGCCTGGGACTAACAGCTGTGCAACCTGTTGGATGAGGGACTGCTGCAACATTGCTATAAGCGCCAGGAAGTTTCTGAAATACGCCCGAGAAGCATTGTATGGGCACATCCAACTTGTCGGAGCAGACGGACATCATATGAAGAAGCGAACGAAGTTGACTTACGGGTCAAGACTGGTTCTTTTGCGCAGAACGCTACGAGGAAACTTGAGGATAGCAGCGATAGTGCGGTCATTGAAACCCCCGGCTTTGCCATCAGCAGCATCTTCAGTGGAAGAATATAATGATCTAGTAGCATCGGTCATTCTGGCATGTCCCAACTTTGAGCGGCTGGTTGGATACTACCCGACATACGATCATACCTTTCAGCGCATTTTCCAAGCTCTTTCGACACGTCAGAAGTTGAAAGAGATGGATTGGATTCTGGAACGCTCGCCATTGCAACGACAAAAGTCAACAGCCGCTATCCGCCCATTGACTGCTAATGGGAGCAAATACAATCTCGCAAACGGCAGTAAACACAATCTCGCCAACCTCAACAACAGCAGACACAATCTCCACGAGCTGGAACATCTGTCACTTACTCAATGCCGAATGTTTATCGACTTTCACCTTGGCTGGCAACAGCTCACCACGCTTGTGGTACATTGTCATCCCGGAGCAACGCTGGCCCCTGACGGCATTCTAGATCAGACCTTCCGTAATCTCCCATCTCTGCAGAATCTCAACGTCTCCCACCTTCCACGCAGCTCGTTTACCGATGCGAACCTTCTTCATCTTCCTCCCCGTCTCAAGAAACTTACCCTGGCTCATCTCCCTGGCATCACCACTGCTGGACTTACCACGTACGCCAGCCGATCTGCTGCCACATCGCTTACTACATTGACACTCATCCACATGAACCTCGAAACGCTCCCCTCTTTGGCACGGATCTTGTCTAACCTCGTCAACCTGGATACCTTCAACCTCGTCCAACACCACGCCCCAGTCATGCCTAGCGATGAGATGATTTGGCTGTTTCCGTACATTACCTCGAACTCTTTGCGCAAGCTTCACTGGGATATACCCACACGTACCACGACCACGCCTGCGGACGACATCTTGGCGAAGAGCATTCTTGCCGGCGGTTTTCCCCGATTAACCGCCATTCGCTGTCCGAATGATCCCGAAGGAGTTTTCCAGGCTCTTTGTAAACCCAAAGAGCGCGCCGACCACCCGACCGATCGTTATCGTGGAGGCAAGATGCACTTTACGCCCACCAACACCAGCGGGATGATCCATCACGCGCGCAGCCCCTCTGGATTTGACTCGATCGCGAGCAGCACGGGAAGTATGACGAATGGTTCCATCGGCGACGACAGGGACACCATCTCCACGCCATCGACACCTACCGATACTTCTTTTCCTCTGCCAACCTCCAGCGGCGGCGGCGGTCCGCCATTGAAGTCTCTTCCCATCTTCGCGCCCAAACCCGGTTCTCTAGCAGATCCCTTCCTCCTTTCGCACCGCGCGCAATCAGACCTGCACCTCGCCCGGCTAGCCGCCCAAGCCCGCATCGAAGCAGCACGCAAGTTTCCCCGTTTCTTTATCATCGTCACCGACCCCAACGGCGAAGTTGTGGACAGATATGGCGTTGGAGCATTCATTGGACGGACGGACAGCAAGATCACGTATCTTCTGACAGCCGACGAAGGGAGCGGCGCAACAGACGAAGGAGGTGGGCTGGTTACCGTGGATAGAATGCTGGGAGACTGTGGAGAGGCGTTGGTGTTGCCTCCCAAGTCATCAAAGGCTGTGTCGGAGAAGGTTGAGAAACATGAGCATAGGCACTCAAAATCCTCGGAAGACAAAAAGGAGCATCGAAGGAGCAGGAGCACTTCAAGGACTGGGATGAGGGAGTGGTGGGGTGCGAGGAGCAAGAGTAAAAGTAGAGCTGCCGCGGCGGCGGAAAAAGCGGCGGAAAAGGCAGCGAATAAGGTGGAAGACGTAATGGTGAAGACGGGTACGGAGGAGCAAAGTAGGACAAGGGAAGGGTGTATTGGACGGTGGAATACGTACAGTGGGTCGGTGGTTGATAAGAAGGATCGGGAGAGATGGTGGCATACGGAGAGGGGACGGTGGAGGCCAGTTGTGCTTTCATGATTATGGAAAGAGGAATGACGGATGAGTGATGAATCAGCAAGCGAGCAGCACTGAATAGGTGTTGTCTGGGTTGTGGTGATATATGGATGAGATGATTTGCAACGGTGGTTGATGTTATAATCTAGTGTGTATGTATGAAACATTACTGACGACGAAATAATTATTGTAGGTGGCATGAAAATGTTTACATAACGCCAAGATATAGATTGCCATTATGACTGAGTGGACGCCTGTGACCTTTCTTTTTTTTATTTCTTTCTTCCATTAGCTGGTACTCAGAACCAGTACAGAAGAGGCCGATTGTTAAAATGATCATTACGGATGAAGAGGGCCCGGATGGGTAAATTTCAACCGACCCTCCGGCCGGGTCATGCATGCAAGACCACTCATCTCCAAGCCTAGAAAAACCGACGAAGACCTGGACCGGACACCACGCTTTAGGCCAGAGTTTGTCCATTGACATCCGTAATGAACCATCTGAATCCTCCCAGGCTGCTCATCTAGCCAAAAGCATCCCGTCGCAGCCCTTTCTCCCCTCCCCTCTTACCCGCCGTAACAAAAAAAAAAAAAAAAAAAAAAAAAAAAAAAAACCCCATATAACCCTCTTCCATCACCTACCCCCCTAATGATGCATAACAAACCCCTTGCCTTCCTCCCACTCATTACACCCCTCCCTTATTCCCATCCAATACCTCAACTTCACACACTCCCTCGTGGCCGCCTCCACATCTTCCTTAGCAAACGCTTCGCTCAATTTTTCTTCTGACTCTTTTATCCGCGCCTCATTCTCTTCCCTAACCGGCTCCAAATCCGCTTCCGTTTTCGCCTCGTCAATCTGCTCCCGCGCTTCCAACACCGTCATCAACAAGGTGGGATCCGACCCATTCTGGTAGTCGGTCGATTCGTCACCGGCCAAATCGACGTCGTAGAGTTCTTTGAGCAGGTATTGGGCGCGGAGAAGGGGCGAAGAAAGGGTCTTGTAGGCGGAATTGATGAGAGAGGAGGTTGCTTCTGCTTTTCGCCGCTGCAGCAGGGACTCGTCGCTGTTGCTGCCGTTGCTGCTGTTGCTGTCAAACTGGTTGGCTGAGTGGTGGAAGTCCGGGTGGGAGGCGGCTTGGAGACGGAGGAATTCGCGGCGCAGGGCGCGGACGTCGATGTCGAAGGGCCCGGACGGGGGTGGGCCGAGGGGGAGGGTGATGGGGAAGAGGGCGTAGTAGCGCGGTATGGGTTTGTTACTATCCGAAGAAGAGGAGGTGGAGGAGTTTGGTGCTTGGGGCTTGGGTGTGTTGTCGGAGGGGGTAGAAGAGGTAGAGTATTCGTGTGCGCGGGCGCTCGGGAATAGGCGGTGTTTTTGTATCTCTCTTGTCGTCGTCGTCGTCGTCACTCGTGGCCTTGATTGCTCGGGGACTTCTGGCCTTCGGTTCCTGTTCTTGCTGGCGCATGCTGTAGAGAAGGCCACTCCTGCGTTTGTCCTGCTGGCTTCGTTGCGACAGGCGGCGCAAAGGGCGCGCGTTGCTGGGCTGGAGAGAATCGAAGTTCGCATGTTGCTTTTTGACTTTCGGCGGGGAAGAATGAACAAAATATTGGTTTCGTGAGCGATATGAAATGATCCTTTGCGATATTCGGTCGAGTAATATTGTTCGGTTGTGTCGTCTGTGGTCGCCTGGCGTGACTGTATAGAGGGAAAAAAAGAATTGAAAAGTCGAAATGACGCCGTAATTCGGATGCGCCGCCCGCGCAACTGAAAAGAAGCTCTCGGCGGCACAGCAAATGACGTCGCTGGAAGCCTCGGCGAAGGTGCCAGCCCTAGCGGGGCTACCCGGTCAAGATAGCGCGTTGGACCCGCTAGGGTCGATGCACTTCGTCGCCCCCGATTTCATCCCGTCCCAGAATGAGATGAAATACGAATATCTTGAGTAATGGACTCCAACCGCGTCTTCGATTCATGGCTGCCGAGGGCCGTCGTTAACAGAAAGACGGCAAGTTTGATTTCGTACATGAAGCTACCGGTCGGTATGCCTATTCGAGCCTTGAATACTATGGCGTCGTGACGGACTGATGGCGACTGGACTGTACTCGATTGCCGGCGAGAATTGAACAACATGATGAACTGCGCTGGAAAAGGTTTGACATTGCGGGAGTAACGAGGGCGGCGACCCCGCTAGTTTATAACAGAACCCAGTGCCCGTCAGTAGACGTCACAGCAGGCCGAAGGGCATCGTACGATTTTGCTCTTCGGTTGGACCTAGAGGAACCAACCAGCTGGATTTGTGCAGTTTGAGCAAAGATCCAGCCCTACACTTCACGGAAGCTGCGAGTAAAAGGCCCAGGGACAGTTCAAACGTCTCAGCTGTAAGTTGTTGGGTCAAGGGCGGTATCTTGGGAGTCGGTCCCAATACAAAGCCCGTCATTCAGCTCAACGTAAACAGAAACTGATTTTTGCATTACTGCCCATCATGCCGACGATGAGCATCGTTGGCAAGATGTATGCTCTTTTAGAAGACGCTTCAGATGTTTGTTTACAAGCCCCTGACTTTTTTTGGTTTCCGGAGGACTGAGGGAAGACCTGAGCAACCGGATGGCGGATCCCTGCGGCTCCACTGACTTAGTGTGGGTAGAGCTTCCCCACAGCCCCACAGCAAACCCACCCCCACCAGCAGCAGCAGCAACACGCACCTAACGACAAGCTACTGAGGAAGCTTTCAACCACTTTGTCACTGACAACGGTCACACAGCCTTATCGACAACCTTCTTTTTGTTCGACAACTCAACTGAACTCCTCAACTCACGACATCCAACAGCACCAGCACAGGAACATACTCAAAATTCTCATACCGGACTTAGAATTACTACTACCACACTATTCGGCTGGGATTCATACTCAGACGAGCTTCTTGTTCACAGCCATCCACCAGGCGGCCCCTCACGTCTGCTTCACCCCCCGACATAGCAAACTTCGAGCAGTGGTAACTCCAACCACGAAAAGAAAGCATCACGGGCCAATATGGTCTCCTCAGAAGTAAGAGACCTTCTGGCGCAGGTGCCGAACTGGAGTCAAGCAGACCGTCCCGCCGCCTTCAGGACGATAATCACCACCATCACCTCCAGCCCCGACCCCAGCCACTTCGCCGCCGACCTCAAAGCCGTTACCGACGCCATCTTCCTAGAGTCGCTGGGTGTCGTCGCCACTCGAGCTCTAGTCATCGACCTGATAGACGCCCTTAAATCGCTTGCTTCCGGAGGGCCCTCCGCAGACACCATTAATTCCACAACCTCCAGCATCTGGCTTGACGTAGGCAAGGCCATCCAACAGCATATCCAGTCCAACCCCACCCTCGCAACCTCGCTGGTCGACCAGACCGCCACCATTTACGAGGACCTCCTAGCGGCCGCCCACGAATCACAAAATAGTTTTACCGACGCCGCCAAGACGCTCGCGGCCATCCCGCTTGACTCCTCACAGCGTCGCGTCACAGACAAATACAAGGCCGATCTCTGGATCCGCATCATCCGCAACTACCTGGAAGACGACGATGCCACCAGTGCCGAAACCTACCTCAACAAGCTCAAAAACATCATCCACAACGTAGCCGACGATAACCCGGTGCTGAACCTGCACTTCAAGCTCAGCGCCGCCCGCATCCAGGACAGCAACCGGCAGTTTTTGGCCGCCTCGCAGTCGTACTACGAAATCAGCCTGTCGCCCGCCATCGCCGAAGAGGAGCGCTTACACACCCTGAGCATGGCCATCAAGTGCGCCGTCCTCGCCCCGGCGGGACCCCCGCGGTCACGCGTTTTGGCAAAGCTCTACAAGGACGAACGGTCGGCTTCGCTGGAGGAGTTCGGCATCCTGGAGAAGATGTTTCTTGACCGCCTGCTGGCGCGGGCCGAGGTGGAAAAGTTCGCTCAGGGCCTGGCGCCGCACCAGCTGGCCACGACGTCGGACGGGAGCACGGTGCTGGCCAAGGCCATGGTCGAGCACAACCTGCTGGCCGTGAGCCGGCTGTACCGCAACATTGGGTTCGACGCGCTGGGGTCGTGGTTGGGGCTGGACTCTGGGAACAAGGCGGAGGAGATCACGGCGCGGATGATTGAGCAAGGACGGCTGGCGGGGTCGATCGATCAGATTGACAGGATCATTTACTTTGAGAGCGGGCTGGAAGCCTCGGGGGAGAAGGGTAGTGGTAGGGCCGAGGTACCGGTGGGCAAGGAAATGCGGAGGCAGGATGGGATGGTGCAAGCATTGGCGGAAGACCTCGAACGCATCACGGATGATCTTCTGGTGGAGTTTCCTCAGCTGGTACCCGCCGGGGTTCCTGGCAATTAGGATAGCTCGTCCCTGGGCGGGCACCTTGATCCTCTCGAGGAGATGGAACCGCTCATCACAGCCGTACCAGTGAAGTCTGGCAGCCCCGCCAAAAGAAAGCAAGCATGATGACAAAGAGCAGCGCGTATGACACCTAAAAGAAGGCGTATGTACATTTCGAAGAGAAGAAATACAGCACTGGAGGCATACTTACGGATGGGACATTGTCCTTCAAGAGTGTCTAAAACGTAGTGTCTGTACATAGTCCAGAATAGAGTTACATTAAGACAGGCAGGTATAACGCGTATTAGTATTGTCATGCTAATGTCCTAAATATCTACCCATGACCGTTTATCCAACCATGCCTCTCCCGCAAATCGTCTCTGTTATGCTAATCGTAATCGTAACGCAACGCATGCCGCCAAAACGCCGCTTACTCTTTGTCCCAAACCCATAAATACCCAAAGACATCCATGCCGCTGTACCCCTGGCTATCCGACGCTGTCGTTCCCTTGGTATGCCACTTTGCCCGCCTGCCACTAAGAACCGGGCAGCGGACTGACTGGCGCAATAAGGTTAATCCAAATCTCTCCTACGAACAACGATATATCCTTTATCAAGCCCAGCCGATATTGGCTCAGCCGGGTCCTCTTCTTCCTCAAACACCTTCTCGTCATCTTTGAACATTCTCCTTTTCCTGCCCATCGGCGTCCGGTCGTTGTCCGATTGTTCTCTCACAAGCATATTGACGAAAGTGACGCCAATTTTGTTTCCCATCCGATCGTAGCCCGCGGGTGTGAAGTGGATGCCGTCGTCCCAATAACGTTCCCGGTCGGCTTCGGACAGGGCGTAGAAGGGGAAGGCGGCGTGGAGGTCGAAGGTGTAGCTGTTTTTAGGGGGGTTGGGCTTGTAAGTCTTGGTTACGGAACGATTTGAGAGTGTGGGTGTGGGTTTGAGAAAGGGAAGGTTTCAGAGAGGGCGTGTGGGGGTGAAGGGGGGAGACATACTAGTTGGGCTTCTTGTAGGTCTTGATCATCTGGTTCAACTCGTCCCTCCTAAAGTCCAATAACTCCTTCATTCCGCCAGCTGACGATCCGATCTCGGGAACGGTGAGCGCGAGGACCTTGCATTTGCGGCTCAGAGCCATGTCCCAGATCTGTGTGAGGCTTTCAAAGATTTGGTTGGGGTGGATGTTACTGCCGAGATCGTTGGTTCCGCCGAGCACGATGGCCCAGTTGAAGGGTTTGTAGTCTGCTGGGTTCCTTGGGGCGAAATGTGATTCCATCCTGGTTAGAAACGACCCTTCACCTGTTACCAGATCACCGGACACCCCGTCTGTTACTATCTCCACGTCGACATCGGGAAACGCCATACGCAGCATCTCTTTGAGTTTGGTGCTATAGGGGGTGAAGCAGGAGCCCCAGCCGGAGTAGCCCTCGGTGAGGGAGTCGCCGAAGCAGAGGATCCGGAGCTTCGAGGGGGGCATTTCGTCGTTGTTGGCGCTGGTTCGAATGGTTCAGGGGTCGGTCGGCAGTGATGTCGGAAGTAGATGTTGTAAAATGTGCAATCTTTGGCGTATATAGTGGAAGGATGGGATTTCAGATGTTATGGTACTAGGGACGCGGCTACTATACTGCTAACTGACATCGACCAGCCTGGCCAGGCAGACGGGATAAGTGAGGTCCGGAAGTTGTGATGTCCTTCGACGGCATCAATTGAGGGCCGAAACAGTCGAGCGGAACAGGTCTTGGGCGAGGTTCTATTTAGTAAATTGGATGGATCAAAGGAACTGAAGCGAAAGGCAAAGCAGTCATCAAGGTGTGACAGGCTGACTGGTGGCAGCTGAACAAGGCAGCCGATTAGGTGCTTATCGGTTGATTGTGTCTCACCGCGATGTTATCGGGATGAGCACCTGCAGGCGCGTGGCATGTATGATGTACCTGCCCTGGCGTGTAGGCCATGTTTACGTAGGAGCAACTCCCCGGTGGGCGGGCAAGTACGGGCAGTGACGGCACTGCAATTGTGGGGGCGGGGCACGTATACGGTGGCCCAAGTTTGGGTTATGCTTAATTGAAAACTGGTCCGTGCTTCTAATTGCCTATAGATAATAATAAAATTATTAGTACCCTATATAAAAGTAAATATATATACCTCCTTGCTAAATTAATTTTCTTCTTTTTATACCGTATAACTATTGCGTATACTTCCCTATCGCTCCTCTACCACTTTATTTCTATTCTCTTTACGTCCGTCCGCTACTCCCCAACTATTCCCCTACTACTCTCTTACGACCTTTATAAATTTACTAAATATACCGGCGCTATATTAATTTAATAGTCGTGTATTACCTACCCCTCCCTCCGAATAGAGTATAACTTTAATAGTAGAAGAATAAACCGTCTATTTACTAAGTAAATTCGAGTAGTGTAATACGGGCGCTACTAAGCAAATTCTATTATGTAAAATAGTAAATTAGAATCATATTTTTATATTGGAAGTAATTTAATACTATCGGCTTTAATAGAACTTTATACGTTTATAGGAAATTAGAAAAACTTTTAAAAATAGGGCTTAGGAGGTTGTTATTCTTAAGGTTAATATAATTGGGTAAGTAATTATAATTATTATTTACCTATTCGAAGATATATATAATGAAGAAGAATATATTTAATATACTAATAAAGCTACCCTCCGTCCAACGTTCGAATATATTAGACCCTATAATTAGTAGTTTGGTAATGTTTATACCTATTATTATTACGCTAAATAGGGTACTAAATATTCTTTTAAGAAGGAGGCTAAAGAGGAAAAAATAAAAAAGGAAAAGGTGGCGGAAGTATAAGTACTTTAGAAGGAGAAGGATAAGGATAAGATTATAAATAAAATAATACTTTAGGAATTAGAAAAAATAGAGGATATTATTACTTTTAACTTTAAAAAGCGTAAGGAATTTAAAGTACTATCGCTTATAAAGCGTAAAAGGTAATTATAAATATAATTCATTTTTCTTCTCTTATTATTATTATATTTTATTAATACTAATTATACTTTTCTTATAATACTTTACAAATTTTATATTAAAATTATTTTATAATATAGGGCATAAATAAAATATTTAATAATGATTTATTATTATATAAGAAAGTAAATTATTGTTTCTAGTTACGTTCAATCAATATAAATTCGCTTCATACTATATAACTTATATTTTCCTAAATCTAATTCCAGTCTATATAAAAATACGTTCCTTAAAGCAAAGTGAAAAATACGTAAATATAATTTAATATATTAATACTATATCAATATTTAGAATAATGAATTATCTTTATAATTCTTTTTCTATTCTAGTATTAATAATAATAAGTTAAAACTTATATAATAGGATTAAAATTTAATTATTTTCATAAAGTTATTGCAATTTTCTTAACCTTATATATAAATAAACAATATTATATTATTTATAAAAAGAAATCTTATTTATATATTTAAATACTATACTTATATATAAATATATTTTTGTTATTTTTAATCTTTTTTAAAAGAAAATATTAAATTTATAATACGTAATAGTATATAACGAAATCTTCTTTGTAAAAGGTTTAAATATATTTATATTTATAATAATTATCTTTTATAATACTACAACTGAGATAAAGCTAGAAGTTTTTATCCAATAGTATTTAACACTATATAATTTTTTTTTCAAAGAATTTAAAAAAGAATATTATATTGATAAAGTACTATAGTTATATAATATAAAATAAAAGAATATTATTTATTTATTATATTTATTTATTTTTCGTTATAATAATTAAAGGCGAATATTATTTAGTAAAATAGTATTTTATAAAATAAAAAATTTAAATAGTTTAATATCATGAAAGTCCTTTTAATATTATTTTAATTGTAGAAAGAAATAAGAAATTATTTACTTTTATAATATATAATAGAGATTTCTTTTAATATATAAATATTATAGAATTTTTATTTTATAAATTAATAATATTAATATATAAACATTAATTATTATTCTTAAATCATTAAATAGTTTTCAATTAGTATAAAGAAATAAAAGTAAGACTCTTTAATATTTATTAAAAAATATATTTATACTTTAATATATAAAATAGAAAAAAGTCTTATTGTATGGTTAATATTATTTATATATATAGTTATTTACTTTACTTTATTAAATATAAACTAATAAAACTCAAATTAATTAAATTAAAAGTAGTACTAGGCAATTTATTAATTTTTAAAGAATTTTTTAAAGTAGGTACTAGATTAACATTTTTAAATATTATTAAAAAACAACTTTTTTATTTTTTTTTATTTTTAATTTTATTAATTATATATATATTATACCTTTCTTCTTTTAAAGCTTTTTAAAATCATAAAATAAGTTTTATTATTATAAAAGGGATATTGAATAGAAAATAAAATTAGGAAAAATATAATAAAACTTCTTATTTAATATTAAATTTTATTAAATTTTAAAAAAGATATAAAACTTACTTTTTTATTATTATAAAATTAAATAATATTAACTATATATTTAAACTTTCTCTTAATATAGTAATAATATTAAGGAAATATTCCTATATTAAAATTAATATTATAACTTCGTACTATATTATTATAATTAAAAGAACCTTTAAAAGAATTATTAAAGTATTGCCTTTTTCTTAAGTTTATTTTATATAAATCTTATATATACTTTAAGGTACTTAACTCTATTATATTTCAATATATTTAAAATATTCAAAAAGAAAATATTATTATAATTATTAATAGAGTATAAAGATAATTTTATTTCTTCTTATATTATAAAATTTTAAAATAAAATATTTAACACCTATTTTTTATAAATACTTATTTTAAGTTTATTATATTTATAAACATATATAAGTATCTCTTAATAAAATTATAATATTTATTAAAAAGCGAAACTATTATTATTTTATTCCTTTATATAAGTAAAAAAGGGCTTTATATATAAAAAGATAGAAATAAAAAAAATATATAAATAGTATTTTAATACTTATAATATAAAGAAGTTATATATATATTAAATATTATCTGAATTATAACTTATTATATAAAAACCTATAATATACTTACAAGCTTTTAAATACTCTATTTTTCAAAATGAATTTAATTAATAGAAATAAATATTTTTCTACTTTTTTATATAATTTAAATAAGAAAGATAAAATAATTAATATAGGAATTTATTTCTTTTCTAATAATTAATACTTTTTAAATTAATATATAGAAAAGTCTTTTTAAAATTCTTTTTATAAAATATTATTTCAAAATTAATTTATAATAATATATTTTTCATAGTAATTTGAATTATTTAAATATTAGAATATAGATTTACTAACCTTTTAGAATACGCTTACCTACCCTATTTCTACACACTATCCAACAATTAATAAATATATCCAATAGCCTCTGATAAGAATTAATTTCTACTAATTATAAGCCTTTATACTTCGTAGATTATAAAGTAAGCTAATATCTATTACCCTGATACTAACGTAAAATATCCCTTTCCTATTGAAAATATCTTACTGTATTGTAAAGGATTATAATAAATTATTTACTAATAATAGGTTGCGAATATATTAACCTCCGGCTGTATATAACCTTTATCTTCAAAATGTATACTAATAAACTCTCCCGTAAGGATATCCTTAAAAGTTTAAAAGAATAGTATAATATCGATATAAATACTACAACCTTAAACCGCTTTTTAAAGACCTTAGAAATAGTATTTCAATATAGATTTAAGATACTTACTACGGATATATTTTGTATAGAGATTTAAGCTATCTATTTCGAGAAAGTATCAAGTAATAAAGAATTATTTATTATTCTTCAAAAGTGAGGATATATAATTTTTCTCAATAGGTTATAAAATTTACGAAAAAATTTAAGTATCTTCCGAAAATATACGTTTAAAGTCCTTAAAAATAAGTTTGTAAAAGTGCAAACTATTTTTTACAGGGTATAAGAATTGGACGAAGCTTATTTTATCCGAAAAATGAATAAATACGAATTATAATACTATTTTATAAAATTCTTCGACCTTTATTTACTATAGGAGCTACTCTTTACTTACTTTAAAGAATTTTTCCCTTAAGTAGTTTAAAATAAGTTCGACCTCCTATAATACTATAAAGGAGGATAGATTATACCCGGTCCTAATTATTTGTAGTATATTAACGCTTATTTAAAGCTGTATAAATATAATATTAAAATCTATATTAGTATTAATGTTTATTCTCGATATATTATATAGTTCTATATTAGAATCTCTATAATAATATAAAGATCCGTCTTCTATTAGTAGGTAGAAGTTATTAGGAAGTATAGTTTTATACTAATATAAATATAGTTTGATTGTAGTAATAAGGTTAATATGCTAGTATATAGGCTCTATTACTTCGTACTCGGTAGTTAATTACGAAGAATTTTAAG